TCCCACAATCCTAAATTGTCTTGACTTTGTGTAGGAAGCCTGGTGCATGCAACCTGCAATTTAGCTGAGGAAGCGGCAGTGTCACCGTGGCTGGCCTGGACATTAGCGGGGTGAGCAGATGGGGAAGTGGTCACGTCTTGGGGGACCGATCATGGTGTCAGAAAGCACTTAGAGCCCCTCACCCTGACCCCTCTATAGCCCAAGCACAGCAGTCACCCCTGCTCCATAGCTGCTGCCGTCTCTTAACAGGGAAGAGCTCAAAAAAGTGCAATAGAGCGAATGTGTGAAGGCTGTCTTGCAATATGAGAGGGAAATACATCCAGTTATGCCATAAAAGCTCCAGAAATGTTTTTTTTTTTTTCTTCTTGTCCACGTCTCTACATGCAAACATGTGTACGTTCTATGAAAGGACTATTTGATGTGTAAAAGTGCTACTACTTTGGATTTGCGTCAGGGCTTTTAAAGTGGATATGGCATCACTCAACATTTTCCGTCAAACATTTCTGACATCTGCGTCACTTTCTGTTCACTTTGATCTCGCTGTTCACAAATATATGAAGCATGTTTATTTTGCCCTCCGCCTCATGACGCTTAATGAACTATTTTGAGGATTGGACACTTTGCAACTTTAAATTTCCCCACTGTGGGAAGAATAAAGGAATATCTTAACTTACCTCTAAGATGTTGGAAACTACTTAGAATGTAATGGATATATGACAAAATGATTGAAAGGAACTTAAAATTGGTTGCAATTTTGTATTCTACGATAAACTTATTATTCCTGAAAATTAGCGTCTAGAAAACTATGTAAAAACCTTCTCCCTCGGTCCAAATATCAGTCATTTGGATATGGGCTTAACTTAACTGTGGATACTAAACATGCATTCAAACAAAGATCAGGCGCCTGCTCTGTTGTATGTTCAGATGACAAAGAGAAAATCCATATTTACTTTAAGAGGCGTCCAGAACCTTGGCCACCACTGCGATCCGAATTGTTTTGTTATGCTTTTGGGATTAGTGAAAAAGCCTTGGATCTTTGAAATGCTAAACCTGCCTTTGGTGTATGTTTATAGGCATTTACTTTTTGACTGTGCACTCGAATGGAGAGTAGGGATTGAGCATCGTATAATGAAAAGCCTTAAGAAGTTTGAATATATGCCGTTGTGTTGGATTTTTTTTGCATTTACGCTTTTCTAACATTTGCTTCATCTGGTGGGATATTAGTTGAGTTTATCACCAAATGGCAGGCTGTATAACTAAGCTTTAAACAAATTGTCACATAAAATTAGACAAAAAGCTTGCCACTTTTTCCTTTCAGTTCAACCTGTACTTCATATTGAGGATGCAGTATTGTGGACTGTTCTCTCGATACAACCTTGCCTATTAATGTTGCTTTGGAACATTTTCATTCTAAGTTGTCAATGAACTAAAATTGTGTCGGTCAACTTAGCCACAGCCTGGTGAATGCTGGCATGTGTCCTTGAGCAAGACACTTTACCCCCTGCACCCTCAGTGTCTATGGACTGCTGTATTAATTTGTGACTGCTCCCTTCATGTGCTTGAGTGCCTTGAAAGGTAGAAAAGCGCAACATAAATTACGCCATTTACCAAAGCTGGAAAGTACTATTGAGCTCTGGAGTGGTTGGTTCAGGAAATTACTGTTTTTATCACATTTCTCCTCATGCCTCTTTGTATAGATGTAAATACATATTAATCTCTAAGATAAGTAAGTAATGTTTATTGATATAGTACATTTCACAGACCAAGGTCACCCAAAGCGCTTTACAATGTTCAGAGTTTAGATATTTTTCCTTTCTTTCCACACGGTTTAGATTTAGTCAGACGCACAGCTTAAAATGTTAAACTGTCAAAGAAGAGTACAACAACATTGTCAAAATATAACAATTTGTATACACTTTATTGACAGTTGTGTGGAAATGGGTTATCAAACTATCAATGGATTAACCTTTATCAATCAAAAGCAGCCTTTTATTTCTTCAATACGTATATGTGTAGTAGAAAGAGACTAGCTGACTTCTAATGTTTAGAACAGACTCTTGGAACCAGCAGAATACTCTCTGTAAGAGATGTTCTTTGGAGACTATTACACAAGCAGCTCTACTTTAAATTGTGTTTTGATAACCACACTATAAGGGGATATATACGACTGACATTTGCATAGTTGTTGTTTGAAATCCCAAGACAGACTGCAATTCCCAGCTGTGGAATACAATACTGTCTAATGTTTCGTCTGGGCTATGTTTCTGCCACAGTTAACTGGAGCCTGCGCTCATGCAGACTTGTCGTGTTTGCAAAAAGTCCTGTTCAAATATGGGCCTTTGCTTGCAGTGAGATGCCAGGGGAGAGGAAGTGAGAGTTCAGAGCGTCAACAGTCTATGCCTGACAAGTCATGAGGGACGCTTTTACAACACACTTTTAGATATGTGGGTTTCCCTCCTGGTTTTTTCAAACTACGCAGAATACAGAGAAACACTGCTGCAAGCCGAGTTCTGCTTGTCTTTCCTCTAGTCATCCTTGTTTTAAGAATCTACTTCCAAGTGACCCAATGCTGAGGTCATCAAACTTCGGCTGAAAAAAAAAGGATGTAGCTTCAAAACTTTTCATTCTGTCCACCCATCTGTGATGGAGGTTCTGAGAGACTCCCAGAGCATTAATAAGTGGACGTCCAGACATTCTGTAGGTGACCTGTAAGAAACATGTTAGTTTTTTTAATTTATTTTTTTACTGTATGGACTCTATTAATGTTCCCATTGTGACAGGTCATTAATGGCATAGTCGGGGTGTGCAACTACCTTTTTAACACTGCATTCTGTCATTTATAATTTGTCAGAAATTGAAGCCTGCAGTCAGCTCCTGATTTGAAGGATAACAATGGACAAAAATATGTCCTTTCCAGTTAGTGCAGAATTTGTTTGTAAGTCTGTTAGATAAAACAATATTTGTTCTCTTTGTGATGCTTAGACCTTGTAGTTTTGGCCTATGATTAACTACATGCGATAAGTGTCCTGAATAGAGAAATAAGACTTTTAAACCCACTCAGAATTTGTGTGATAAGTAAATCTTCTGTTTGACTTTTAGGAAGTAGAATGAGCATTTGTTTATCCTTGAAAACTACAAATTGAAAGCAGAAACCAAGCTTTCTGTAAAGAAATACACCAGGACTTTAAAAGCACATTTTTATGTTTATTTTTCATATTAAATTATATTTGAGTTTGAAGTACAGATCTGTCAGTCTTTTTATTGTTGACAACGTTTTAATTTTCTTTCAGTTGTAAGTTCAATCAACAAAAGCTCTGCAAGATTCAAGGGATTTGTGCTTTAAATCAATCGGGAACGCAAATCATATTAGTTTTTATTATGACAAAATAATAAACGAAATGAAATCAATGAGTTATCACAATGAAAAACACATTACCTTTTGTGATCATATCTCGAAACTAACACCACGCTTCATTTATTGCATGAAAAACTGATCAACTTGTAATTTCATGCTTTCCCCTTCCACCATGTCTGTTGCGTTGTTTCCCTGCATGTGCGATCGACCATTCACGCATTGATCGCTATTCCCTGACAAGTTCATATCATCAGAATTGACTGGAGCTGTGAATTGCGACTAACAGAAGCGGGTCGGCCTTCGCAAACTTTTACCCCTTGCCTGTTCGTGACGCTTCCGGGAGTTGTCAGTCTGCCTGGCCGCCTTGTCACTCACGATCCTCTTCCATCTTCTATCAATCTTTCCCCACCTCCTTCCATCTCATTCCACCCTCTCACTGTCGATCTATCATTTATCTGACTCTGCATGGCCTCCACCTGCTCTGCACTCCTCTCGAAAGTGCACACCGCTTGAACCATTTACCCCCCACCCGCATGGGCTGCTTTGTGGTGCGCAAAGAGATGGAGAGATAGATGGAAGGAGAGACTAGCTTAGAAAGGACAGCAAAACAAAAAAATCACACTATTTTGGGTTTGGGAATGGGGACACGAGCAGCTCTAAGGGATAAGAGAAATGTCATACGGGAAAAAACACACAACATATTCAACAGAAGCGTAATTGCATCTCTTAAAGTTTTGGCTGACCCCAGCGTGAATTAAGATTTGCGAAATGTCAAACAAAATGTATTATCGCAGGTTGTAAATGCTTTAGAAAGCGTTTAAAACTTGCTTCCTGCTTAGTAGGAATGGCTTCATGGAATGCGGATATGCTTTTTATAAGGCTCTGCAAATAATTGTTTTTAGTGGTGATTACATTTATTGTTCCAACCAATTAAAAATGTAATTGGAAAATGGAAAAAAATCTATCTAAAGCCCACCTGCGCTTGTTCTAGCCCTCAACATGTGGAGCTGGTCTCATCCATAGTGACTGCTTCAAATTAGGAATTCAATTATGACCCATTTAATTGCCACTGCAAATCAGGATTTTAGATATAAGTGAGTAGGTGCTTGTTCTTAGTTATACATCAAAAAATAGTTTCTGATGACACATTTTTAAAATGTGTATTCTATTTACCCTAAATGACGAGCTCCTCTTTAAATTAAATTATACTTGATTTTTCTTTGAGTGCGTCCTATTTTAATACATTTAAAGATGACGAATTTGCAGCTATTAACTTTCACCTCTTTTTGCAGTGCATTTGCCGTAGATGCCAAATATAAATTTACTAATCGTTACTATTCATATGAACAGTAGATAAACATAGTCTACAACACAACTTTTCATTTTTCAGAACGTGTACAACACAAATCCACGAGACAAAAAGACAATATTTGCCTAATTTACTGAAAAACCCCTTAATAATCTCTTGACAAATCAACATTGTAAATGATCAGAATTGAAGATGCAATTATGTTTCTGTCGAGCTTCACACTTCTACATCACAAACACGCCTTTCAATCTCTTAATTTCTCGCTACTTTTTATTCTGCCTTTATTTCCTTTTCTAAACTTTTTTCTCTCTTCCTTCTTGTCTCCCGCTTTCTTAGAGCCCACAGTGGACCCATCCAATGCCGGCGTGGTGGCGGGCGCAGTCATAGGCTCCCTCCTTGCCCTGCTATTGGTCGCCGCCCTGGTGGCCGTGCTGGTGACCCGCAGCCGCAGACAACAGCAGGGCTACCGCGCAAACGGGTCCGGCGACATGAAGACACGCATATTCGGTGGCGGCAAGAAGTCCGCCAAAAACGGCACAAACGGCGGCACGGGGACCGGAGTGGGCGGCGCCAACAACAACGGACCCATGTACGGCTACAACGAAAGCTCCTCTCACCACGGCGAGAAGAATAACCATCACCACCAGCCGCTTACCGTAGGGTCCACCACTCCGTCGGCTCAAGACATCCTCCTGAGCAACGAGCTGGATGACGCGGAGAGGAGAAAGTTCGACGAGTTGGAAGAGGATGAAAGGTACGACCATTTCGGAGGCGGCGGTGGGGCTCCCATCCTGCAGCTGCGCCCCCACAATCAGGAACACATCATGGGAGATTACCTCGACGACGATATGGAGTCCCAGCGCGACGGCTCCGTGATCTCGCGGACTGCCGTGTACGTTTAAGGCGTGAGCAAAGAAGATTACAGTGTGTCTTTTGAAGGATTTACGGCGCCTGGAAAGGAGAAAGTGAAATGTATCCACTTTTATTTTTACAATTGATTTTAAATAGCCTATTATTAATCACCGCAGTGCAGTCGGATTATGGACTGATTGAACTGGAGTGTGGCAAGATATTTTATTGGATCTCAGCTTAAATCTTCTCCCTTATTAAAAAGAAAACAATTGAACAGTGACGCATTTGTCTCCCACTGTTTCCACTCATCCTATTGCTAAGACTGGGCCCTATTCACACACTTGACTGTCAGACTAAAAGTGGAACTGCGGTGTAGGAGGTGGAGAATTGCATCACAATTCTGTATCTTCGCTTAAACCATGGATGTATATGTGTGTTGTGCGTTGTGGGAAGGCAGTCCTCCAAAGGGAAAAACCTTTTCTTTAGGTAACCATTTCACTGTCAAAGCTGATCAGTAGCTTGACACGCGCGCACAAACTCTTCAAGCGATATGAAACGGGGACACTCAATTTCAACACGTCTTCTCTACAAAGTGCAAATTCAGTCGGCGCTGTCTCCTAACTTCAGGAACACACTTGGCAAACTGTCAGTGAGTGCGTGGAATGACACAAAAACTGGGTTGACGTAAATTGAGCAGATTTGGGAAGTGTAAAGGTAAACTTTGGTGCAGAGAAGTTTTATAATCCAACAAAAACGAGGTGTGGTTGATGACTTGATAAGACGGGTGAAGCTATGACGAGAATCTTCAACCATATCCTTAATGTTAATGGGACAGTTTTCATCCTGATTTGCTTGAAAACTAAGACAGAATCAAGAAAATATTGGGCTATGTGCCTTGTTATTACCTTCAATTTTTCAGAGTCCCTCGAACAACAAAACGCTGTGCAACGTTTTGCTGTAATTTCAGATTTTCCCATGGTGCTGCAGCGTGTAATCGCCTGCTTTTTATTTCAAAAACGTCCCCAGATTGATACAGGGCAAATATCTTCAATGTTTACAAAGTTTCAGTTAAAGGAATGTAGCCTGATAAAATGTCCTACAGTTGAATGTGTGCTGCTTGTGTCTTAATCTATTAAAGGCGGACACACTGCTGCTGCACTAGTTTCAATTAAACATTTAGTGCAGATGTGAAGATGGTGAAGATTCAGTTTTAAACGCACTGGATTTCATCTTTCAAACGGGAAACTCAAATCAGGGACTTCTGTAAGGCTCGTCCGCTTTTTTTGATTAAGTATTGGTTGGTTGATTGACGCATCTTCGGACACAGTTGAGTCATATTAAATCAAAACACGTATTCATACACACAACTCCTTCTAAATTCATTACATCAAATAATGTCATTGCTGTTTACAATGTGTTTCTGCTGTTAAAGATTGCAAGGCCATGAGGTCGGAGGTTGTAGCGATAGGAGGAAGTATGGCTTATCCTCCTATCCCGCTCACTGTCTATCCAGAGTGGCACTGACAGGAGCTTGATTGGTAATGAGGCGTGAAACCGCTCGCTTAGCCCGGACCAACAGATTGCCACCACTTATCGTTTATGACGTCGCTTCCATCCTTCTATCATATCTCCTCGCTCACTCGCTCTCTTCTCCCTGTGGCCATTCCTCTCTATTCGCACCATATCGTTTACGGACATGTTGTGATTTATCCGGACCAGCGCTGGGGTCATGGCTACGAAGGGCGAGCAAGTATTTTACAACCCCCAATATGTCAAAAACCCCACTTACTCTATTCACATTCAGCAGTGTGCAGCGTCCAGCTCACGGTCAGCTCTGTAGCTTGAGAAATGCCGCCACCTTTTCCTCCCCCGCTTCAGGAAATGGCCCTGGTATAATGCATCAGCGCCGCACCTTGACCGCGTAGTAGAGAGATAGATTTTCAATGGCTGTGCATTACATTTCTTTCCATTAGCGGATGTTATTAAAGGTAGTAAATTGATCGGGAAGACGTATAAAGTTGCACGCGCGCTGGGACGGATGGGAGTCGTATTGACTAACAGACCAGCTTAGGCCCTTTACGGCCCAGCTTTAGGGCTGATTGTCTCTTGACTGTTAATTTATCCTCCTAACGAGCCACCGGAGAACCACTCTGGCAAACTACTCCTCCCCTTTGGCTTCCATACAGTACTCCGGCGGCCATTTTTGCACGGTGTACATTGAGGCCAAATCACTGAGGAGGAAGGCACACAATCGCAAATGCATTAAGCCAAGCAAAACCAATCATATATTTCCGGGCTTTTACTTAAATCCACATTTCAACCCAGTGGAATCTTGTGCAGACAATATTGAAGTGACGAGAAATCTTGATGTCTCCATTTAAAGGCTAAAAGTTCAACAGGTCAACATTGTGACCCACTCTAAGTGCACCAGTGCAATTCCAGGCTCCTTTCTCTCGATGTAATGCAAATAGACTGAAGCTATGGCTGCTTCTGAATGGTCACGTTATTTAGGAACAAAGCAGATGACATTTAAAATAATTAAAGGAAAAGTTGTGACAGAAATCTCCTACAATAAAGATTGAAACATTCAACAGCATTTATACACTGCTCAATGCAACTTGTTGGCTAACAATTGATATGTTTCTATTTTGTACGAACTTACTTCAAGGACATGCAACCATTGAAATTACAATGTATGACATTTTGTAATATTTGTAGCTGCAGCACAATGAATTGGTTTGCCCTTGCGAGGACTGCTAACCTACAGAAAAGAGCAGAAGATGCAGAAGACTCGAGTGAGATGGAATTTAAGTGATGTGATGTTTTAAAATGGGATTGTTGTTTTAATGGCCTTAGCTCATACAGACAAATGTAACTCCTGGGAAGGTTGGGTAAAAAAATAACACACTGGACAGTAGACGCAGTAGTCACAAATGTATTATTTTTGCACTTGTGCGTGTCGCTGTTACGGATTTCAATCTGCCGAAGGGGACAAGTGTCGTGTGTACATTTTGGTGTGAGGTATCCGTGTACTATATATGTAAGCATCTTTATTTTTCTTGTGGAAATGTGGATATTTATGACCAATGTAAATATCAAAAATGGGGGCAGGGACTTGTTTAACTTAGACGGGGTAACGTGAAATGTCTTAAGAATGTAATTTGATCTGCCATTTCCTTTTGTGGTTGGTTTGTCTTTACCAAACCATTTTTAAGAGTCAATGTTTTAATGGACTTTTAACACAGTAAAATGTTTTTTATTTTCTCTTTTAACTGAAATACTCGTACAACGCCGATAGAACATATCCTCAAGAGATGAGCAAATTATGACAAAAAATACAACTACTACTTTGTTTCGGGAGAACCACCACGTTGATGGCATTGTCTCCAGCCTTGATCACCATCCGTTCCACCTTTCGCTCAGCCTCTGTCAGACTGAGTGAATGACGAGTGTATTTAACCAATCGCAAAGAAGTCAGGACGAAGTTGAAATCGGGATAGATTCAAATTAAAACTGTGGACTCAAAGAAGAATGTGGCATGTGACATATCCAACCAAAACTGACTAGATTTAAGAATCTTACACTGCCATTTACAGTCATAGCTTGTCCACAATGATAGTTTTGGACTTATGTGTTTTCAAAAACTGTACACTCACTGCAGCATATATCCTGGAGAATGCAGTGAAATCTTGTTTTTTCTTTCCCATGCCTCTCCCACGCGCTTCACTCACTCTCATTATGCTTACTCCCACAACCAAACTGCGCACAAGACACCTCATACCTGACAACTTTGCCATCTTCTGACATAAACCCACACACTTGCTCCGGCTCCGCACATGGCAAAACACGCTCACGACTAAAACCGTTATTCAACCGTTTTTTGTCAATATAATGTGATGTAATGGGGGTTTATATCACAAACATACCCAAAAAAGGCCCCCCAATATCAGAGGCTTTTTAATAATAGTTTTTTCCCCGACGTTTATCCTTTCTACGCGGGAAATCGAGCTTTCATGAAAATGCCACAGTGCTGACCTCCACCCACCCTCAGGTCAGCATTCAAAGCTTTTAGCGACTTGCAACTTCCTACTCGTGTCCCAGAAATTGTTGTTTTTGACTTTTTTTGACCCCCCTCCCTGCGTTCCTTCCTTCTCTTTATTCTCAATCTGGGGACGCAAACTCCACACTCCCACACAAGACATAGACACTGTCGCCTGTCCAACCCCCCCCACCATTCCCTAAAACCTGCTTTTATAGCAATTTTCAACATCAAAGTACTGGCACTAGTAGAGGCTAGACAATCTATTGGTGGTATTTTATTTTTTTCCTCAAATCACTCACAACTGCTTAGAACTCAACCCCAGTTTGAAAAGAAGTTGGGACACTTGAAAAGCAGTGCATTGATTTTCAAACGGCCGATCAAGCAAAAACGCATCGTAATCTTGAGGGAGTAGAAACCCACAAGGACACATATTATGCATTATTTTTGTATTTCGAGTTTTAGAACTTGGGATAAGAGTGAATAAACACAAACTGTTCCTTTGGGTTGCTTAGTCACACTCTGAAGTTTGACGGAATGTGCACTGCAATCTGCAATGTGAGGAGGATTAATGAACTAAAAACAGCAGAAATGATGAAGTTTTGCATAATATGTGTCAAAGCATTCTTTGTTGGCCATGCTTTTTTTTTATAATTATGTCACTGGCATCACATTCAGCTCCTGGAACGCTTTGTAAATTAATACATAGTTTTATTTTAATTTGCCCTATTTTTTTTATCCCACAAATCGCAGCACACAAAATCAAAGCCTTAACATCTCACTGCGTTCAAAGACATACTCCTTTCTGTGTACATAGTATAAATATATAAATATGTAGCCGCGAAAAGAATTACTAATTTATGGCGTCACGTCTGTGTATTTTTCAGTGACGGCAAAAAACGCATGAAGGATTTATATTTTTGGTTTTTCATTTCCGGATTCGCCTCTTTTGTTGTTTTGCAGTGCTTTATAATTTATGTTACCGAGTGCTTTATTCTTGACTGCTGCGCT